AAGCCAGAGAGGTCTGTACAAAGGCCCTGTGTACAGAAGAAGCATAACTTCCTAAAGGACCTGCGAGAAGGTGAGCTCGGAAGCAGGGGAGCCTGGTGCCAGGTGAGAGGAAGAGCTGATCAGTAGCCAGATCAGAAAGGCCTTTGAGTCAAAGGTGTTAGTCTTTAAGAATGAAGAGAATAGTCTTTTTATAATGTGATCTCAGGTGTGACATTCCGTCACTTTTGCCATATTCTATTCGTAGGAGTAGATTCCCCCACACTTGAGGGGATTATACCAGGATGTGAATGCAGGAGGTGAGAATCCCTGGAAACCAGGTAGGAGCTGCCAATTGTAGGGGAGGGTGAATTGGAAGGTCAGAATGAAGTCAGAGAGAAGACTTGAGACGTGATCCTAGAAGAGCAGCAAGAGATTAGCAGATTGTAGCTTGGGCTAGGATGATAGTCATCGTGTTGGTGAAAATCATGTGATACACGAGGTGAAATCGACAGATCACAGGTTAGATACAGCTGAAATATAGGGAATGACAAAGGTGGAGATGTTGTGGACGTGCCTGGGTGTCTGCTTTCTATATTAGGCAGATTGGTGACTTTTATAAGGACAAGGAATGTAAGACAGGGACCAGGAGAGGGGGGAACAATTGGGATTTCATCTCGGGAATTATGTACAAGTTACCTAAGGCTCTGGGTCACCTTGCTGGATATACTGAGTTTCCAGAAGGCTCTATAAATCTTTGAAGCTGTGAGGTCTAGGTTTGAGATTTAAAAATGGAATCATCAGCATAATAATTATGAAGAAAGTTTAGGGCAATGAGAGAAGGGTCTTGGGCTGTGTCTTACTGGGGAGAGGTGTCACATAAAAGAAGGCAAGTAAAGAAGGGCAAAGAGATACCATGACAATAAGCACTGTTTCCCCCAAAATACATTGATGTGAAATATAATGAAATAACTGTACTTACTTGTAGGGCAACTGATTTGTTTATATATGTATTCACAAGTAGGATCCCATTTGATCCTTCCAGTAAGCCAGAGGGCAGCTGTTACTCTCATCTCACAAGGAGGGAAACAGGCTCAGCAGTGTGATCCATGCAAGGCAGAGGTGCAGAGGTGGCGATGAAGGGGCCTCTGAATAGTTCAATTTCCTTCTGCTGTGTCAGAACAACCATAGGATTTTTATTAAATAGGTTTCTTAGGTGCCTTTGACCTATAGACTTAGAGTCTCCTAGGGCTAAGGTTCTGTCATCTGCTTTTGAAAAAAACTTCAGTTTTTATATACCCAGTGGCTGGGGTGAGGTTAGGAGTGGAGCTGCAGACTGGCTAGGGATTTATCTTTCCATCCACCTGCTGTCTGGGCCTGGAGAAGGTGAGAATTTTAAGTGGCTGACTCTGTGGTTGGGGGATTTAAAATACTATGTCAGGGTGTACTGTTCCCATACTCTCCCACACACTGAGACATTTTACCCTTGTGCCTTAAAGGTCTGGCATGTGGCAGGTGCTTGAGAAGCATCTGCTGATGAGTGATGGCTTTCAGTGGCTCCACCCTATCTGGCCTCCCAGAAGCCACTGACTCTGCTGGCCACTCTGTTCTTCCTGAATATTTTCCTTTAAGGCTTCTCTGTGGCATGTGAACCACAGGCCCTTTGAATAATAAGGGTTTAGGAGATACTCATGTAAATTTATGACTGACATCATAGATGAGACCTTCCTGATGCTGATATGTCGTGATGTCATTGCAAACGTTCATTCCTACCTGAAAAATTATGTCTTCTGCAGTACCAAAAACCAAAAAAGAAAGTTATTGAGAAAGTCATAGTAACCATGATCCATCAATAACAGGAACAGTAAACTGTCCTGTTCTGAGGCCTATGAAGATACCAATATGCAGCCCACTAGAGCACCAGCAACAGGAAGAACAGATACTTTTCAGACTTAGAATTGTAAGATGGGCAAATCAGTTCTACCTGTTGCAAGTGCTAGACATGTAAATGTGCCCCCACCAAGTGGCTGATTTATTTATTTATTTGGTACAGGGTCTTGCTATGCAACTTGGACTCACAGTGATCCTCCTGTCTCAGTCTCCCCAGCACTGGAATTATAGGCATGCGCCATCAGGCCTGGTTTTAGGGCTGGCACACCAGCACAGCATGTGGTGCCAGGGATCAAATCTAGGTCCTTACACTTGCCAGGCAGGCGCTTAGACCGCCGAGCTATCCCACCAGCTTCCAAATGACTTTTGATTAAAAATCTTATTCAGGGACTAAATGCAAATTACTTCTGGGTGTACTGCTTGGGGTGTTATTGAGGATTCTAAAGTGCAAGCTTTCAGCATGATTTGTTTTTTTATATGCACCCTGGTGTACTGCTTTCCTCAGCAGGTATGGTGAGGCTGCCTCCTAGAGCTGCATTTTCAGCAGCCCAGGCAGGGTGCATAGAAGGACAAGGGTGAGCACACGGTGGCTGTGGCTAGATGCGCTCATTACATTGTTTCATGGAGGGCTTGTTGGCATGGCACACAGCCTGGCTTGGCACAGGTTGGGCCTGTTTTAAGATGACTGACATTTGCAGCAGGCTTCTCTTTAACAAGCAGAGCTGACAGAGAAATGAGATACACTTTGAAATTATGCAGATAGAGGTAATGGTGCTCTCCTAATAATAGAGAGGGCTTGCATACAGAGAAGAGGAAACTGAAAGGGCTTCTGCAAACCTCAGTTTCTAGAACTGTTTTGACTTCAAATATACTTTTCCTTGTCCCCATAATCTCCCTAGTATTTTCATATTGAAGACAGCTGTAAGGGGAAAAACTGGGTTTTTTATGTCTGCATTGTTTTAGGTACTTGATATCCTTTTAAAATTTAATACTCAAAATAACCCTATGAGGTGAGGCTGTTGTTATCCTCATTTTGAGATGTGAGAAATAAGGTCCAAAGTCATGTGATTGTAAGTGATGGACACAGGATTTATATTTGAGAAGCCCATGGATTTGTCCTGTATGCTGGTCCCCAGGCACAATAGAGTTTGGACTAATGCTGTCCCAGTGCCCAATGCCCCAGTTTCCACTTCTGCCCTTTACTTCTTTCAACTGATTATATCTAATCTCTGGGATCTTGTCTTGTTCCATAGAGATGGACATGATATATTTTAAGTTTAAAAATGTCACTTTGTAGAAAAGATTACATATATAGATAATGACCCAGAGGAAACGTGTTAAAAAATTTGTAAGTCTACTTCCTATTACCTCTACTAACACTCAAACTTTTCATCACCTATCAACTTGGTTCAGTTCCCACTTCTCTTCTGCCCAATAGCATTTTCCTATCCTCATTATCATGATGATGATGATGATGATCATCGCCATCATCATCATCATCATCATCATCATCATCATCATCATCATTTGCTTTCAGGGATGGTGAGGCTAAGAGTTCCTAGAGATATTGTCATGCATTGTTCAGTGGGAAGCCTGCATGCCTTTGCTAGATACTTAAGGTCTGATGATTACAAACTGTTCTTATTAACATGAAATTTCAGTCTTTCTGTTGGTTTTCATGAGAATTAAAATGCTACCTTTCTCTGAAGAAATTTGATTCAGTTCTATGGTCTAGAGCACTGATGGGGAATCTTTTAGAACTTTCAAAGATAATAAACATGGCCCAAGTGTCATAGGTCTGCCACCCATTGGTTTAGAGGAAAGAAGAAATGTAACAATTTAGAGGGTTAAATGTTGAGGTACTGTACTTCTCAAGTGTCATTTCAGAGAGCTGAGCCATAGACTTTAAACAGAGTAAGACTATAGATGGAGGTGCCACAATGAAATACGCTTTTGCAAATATATTCCTATTTACTTTTACATAAAAGTAATCTTAAAATTCCTTAGTCCAGATTAAGAAGAAAGGCAGAATGAAAAAACCCACAAATTACTAATATCCAAAATGAAAGAAGGATCATTATTGACTAGTGGACATTAAAAGCACATGAAAATATTATGAACAATTATGCCTACAAATTTTATAACTTGTGCAAAAAAGGACAAGTTTCTTAAGATTTATGATCTACCAGACTCACACAAAGAAAAATAGACAATCTGGATGAACCCATTCTACTATAGAAATTGAACTAATAATTAACAACTTTGCAAAACAGAAAGCACCAGGCTCTGATGAATTTACTGGTAAATTGTAACAAATATTTTAGGAAGAAATGACATTAATTCTTTTTTTTTTTTTTTTTTTTTTTTTTTGCTAGGCAAAGCATTTTATTAATGTGTTTCAAACTTTATTCCCAGGCTTCTCCAGCTTAATTGGCTGCAAAGAATGAATTGTATGTAAGCAAAAACTGAAAAGAGCTGCAGTGTCCAAGGGGCTTGGGTTTAAAAAATATTAGAGATCTAGATTTTATCAGATCCATAAACAAAAACAATTTTAAAAAGCAGTCATAATATAAAATAGCAGCTCCCAGTAATTTCTTCCAAGTTTGATCTTTTTCAGAAGCTGACTTAGTTCAGTTTGCCTCATTCTTAGAAGCCTCATCAAAATTCTCCACAAGATCTGGAACCTCATCATCATCCTCTTCTCCAGTAGCAAGCGGTGCTTTTCCATTCACAGATTGTTTGGGCAGAGCTTCAGCCAGTCTCCTTAAACTAGTCAGACTGTCTGCACCAAGCTGGTTCAAGATGCTGGGTAGCATTTCTGTCAGTTGTTTCGTCTCAGCATGGCCTGTAATGGTGAAAGTGTTTGCTGCCAGAGATGCCTGAACTTTTGGGTTGTTGAAGTGGATAACTGTTCCCTGGTTTGTAAACATATTCACCTCTTCAATACCAGAGATATTGTTTACCCCTAACTTCTTTAATGAGAACTGAAGTTTTTTATCATCTGCTGTGGCCGTTCTATGAACCACCTTCTTCTTTCTGCGAGCAGTTCCTTTCCCACCAATGCGCACTTGTGCCTGCAGTTTGGCGAGTTTTTCCTGGTTCATGATAGTTTCTTTCATCTTGTCGGAGCGGATATGGGGCAGCACGTGGGACTAGGGCTGGCGCTCAGGGGGTCTCGGGCGGACCAGCTGAGATTAGGCGCACACACGCGGGGACCCAAGATGGCAGCTAGAGCGACATTAATTCTTTACAATTTGTTCCAGAAAATAAAGAAGAGGGAAAACATTCTACTCATTCTGTGAGGTTAATTCCAAAATATATAAAAATATTACAAGAAAACAGGAAGACTATAAGTCAATATCTCTCATGAATATAGATGCAAAGATCCTTCACAAAATGTAGCAATCTGATGCATAAGATGTTTATAAAAGGACTTATGCACTGTATCCAAGTGGGATTTTTATCCAGGTATTCAAGGATGGTTCAACTTTTTTATTTTATTTATTTATTTATTTATTTTTCTTTTCAAAATTTTATTGATAAACAGATAGCAATGAGACAGTTTCAAATCAAATTGGAAGTACAGTTTCAACAAATAACATACTACATATATTCTTCTTAGTGGTTAATTGCTGTACAAGATGCGGACTTGAGATCCTATTTACAACTTTTGAAAAAAAGTTCATCAAATCATCAGGTCAAAGAAAAAAAATTATATGATTGCATCAGTAGATTATACATTACATTTGTGAAAAATATTTCACAAATTTAACACCCATTAATTAAAAAAAAAAACTCACAATGAAGTAGAACCAGAAGAAAATATGTTCAAAGTCACAGTAACATGTATGGGGAGCCAGCCACATAGCTCAGCAGACTAAAGTGCCTGCTTAGGTAGAATGCAGCAGCCAGGGTTTGATCTCCAGCTTGCAGTGCTAGCCCTGCCCCTGGGGTGCGCTGAGACGGTGATTCAGACTGGGTATGGTGGTACACAATAACATTTATGAAAAACCTGTAGTTAACATTATAATGGTGTAAAACTAAATGCTTTCACCCTAAAATTGGGAAGAAGGCAAGGATGTTCCCTCTTATCACTCCTATTTAACATTGTACTAGAATTTTTAGGTATTGTGCCAAGATAAAAAAGACATAAAAAGTAGATACATGGGGAAGGAATAATACTCTTTGTTTACAAATGATATTATTGGGCTGGCCAAATAGCTCAGGGGATTAAAGTGCCTACAAGCAAGTGCAGGGGCCAGGGGTTTGATCCCTGGGCCTGCCATGTCGCAACTGCCTCCCCACTCCCCTGGTGCGCTGAGATAGCAATTGAGACTGGGAGTGGTGGCGTGCACCTGTAATGCCTGCTCTTGGGAGGCTGTAAACAGGCAGATCACTGCGTCTAATCTAGTAGTGAGATTCTGAACACCTTGTAGATCCTTCCCTAAAATAAAAAACAAACAAACAAAACCAAATGATATTATTTTTAAGTAGAATCTGAACTGGTAGGGAGAATGCATGATGAAGATTAATACACAAAACTCAGGTATCATTTCATAGCAGCAATACACAATTGGAACAATATGCTACTGATATTTAGGACTATAGAATGAAATACATAGACATAAATCTATCAAATGAGAAAATCTAGATGACCTTGGATTAGGTTATAAATTCTTTTTTTTTTTTTTTTGTATATTTTAGTAAGGGTCTACAGGATCTACAGGGTCTCAGTACATAGATCGGACTCGTAGTGATCTGCTGTGTTCAGCCTCCCAAAGAGCTGGGATTACAGGCGTGCACCACTATGCCTAGTCTCAGTCACCATCTCAGCGTGCCAGGGGTTGGGGCCAGCATAGCAGGTAGATTATAAATTCTTGACAAAACATTCAAAGTGAAGTGTATGAGGAAAAAATTATAAAATGAACCTCATTGAAATAAAAAAGCTTCTCTTGATAAAAGGCATTGCTGGAGAACGGAAAGACCAGCCTCATGGTTGGGATTAGATGCAGCTGTGGGCTGACACAACATATTCTTCACAAATTACCTTCTCTGTTCTTTTCATGTCCCTAACAGGAGATGTCTCTGGAAACATAGTTGTTAATCAAATCCCTGAGAGCATGCACCAGTCAGTTGGCTTAAGACTTTCACTATATGAAATTTTACACAAATGAGAAAAACACAACTAGCATTTGAGATGGTTTTTGTCCTAAGACACAGTGTTTTTGCAGAATTTGGAAAACTTGTTCAAGAATAGAGGGAAACATTAGGAAGAGGAGACTTCCTGGTGATAATTTACTAATTTGATGATGTGGCTATACTCCCTCTTAGACACTGGCACACTGAGTTTTTGTTTGATAACCCAAGTTTATACTCAATCTTGCCCTTTCCCCAGATACACAGATATGAACCTTTTCACCAGTAGATTTTAAGAATATGCTTCACTGATTGTTTACTTAGCTATTCTTCCCAAAACATCTGCTGTTAAAATGGAAGATTTAAATTCAGCATCCAAGTCTGAAAGCAAATTTTCATGGTTTGGTTCTTCAAACCATTTCTCTGAGGGAGAGAAAACAACTGGGACTATAAACTTACTTCATGAAATGATCACCAAATTGAATTAACTTCCTGAATTCCTCAGATGATTTTCTACATCCTGTTCTATTTGTGCTTTTAAATATTTCCATTTTTATAGACCTAGATATTTTTAGTGGTGATGCTGATAAAAACATACAATAATTCACTGGAAATTTTGATGAACTGAACATTCTACTCTGGGAAAATTCTAATTTTTCTAAATGAAAAGGACAGATTCAAAAGGAAATTCTAAAATGTCATTCTTAAAGCCTTGTAGTGGTTGACTTTTAAGTATTCCTCAGGAGACTACACGATTTATTTTTATTTTTTTCATGGTAATTTAATTATAAATAAATGAAAAGGGGAAACTGAATAAATGAGTGACTCCCTTTAAATTAAAAAAATTCCATTTAAAAATATATTTTAAAAGCAAATACCACCTCAGCGCGAAGTGGAGAGACCTCAGCGCGAAGCGGAGACACAAGCGCCCGTATCTCCGGGAACTGAACTAGAGGCTTTACTGTCCTCTCTCCAGGGCAAGTGAGAACGACGCCTGCGGCAGTGCGGGGCAGGGTCGGGTCCCAGCGTCAGGTTGCTAACGATGATCGCCCGAGTGGCGGACAGGCTTCCACTGGCCGCGTCGATGCAGGAGGACGAGCAGTCTGGCCGGGACCTTCAACAGTATCAGACTCAGGCTAAGCATCTCTTTCGAAAGTTGAATGAACAGTCTCCTACAAGATGTACCTTGGAAGCAGGGGCCATGACTTTTCACTACATTATTGAGCAGGGAGTGTGCTATTTGGTTTTGTGTGAAGCTGCCTTCCCTAAAAAGTTGGCTTTTGCCTACCTAGAAGATTTACATTCAGAATTTGATGAACAGCATGGGAAGAAAGTGCCTACCGTATCTAGACCATATTCCTTTATTGAATTTGATACCTTCATTCAGAAAACAAAGAAGCTCTACATTGACAGTCGTGCCCGGAAAAACCTGGGCTCCATCAACACTGAGTTACAAGATGTACAGAGGATCATGGTGGCCAATATCGAGGAGGTGTTGCAAAGGGGAGAAGCACTCTCAGCATTGGATTCAAAGGCTAACAATTTGTCCAGTCTGTCCAAGAAATATCGCCAGGATGTGAAGTACTTGAACATGCGTTCCACTTATGCCAAACTTGTAGCTGTAGCTGTATTTTTCATCATGTTAATAGTGTATGTGCGATTCTGGTGGCTGTGAAGTAGTAAACACAGTCACTGGTAAGAGACAACCTAGAACCTGGCAGGTGTATGTTTTCAGGAAGCTGAGCTCACAGGGATATGTATTAGAACCCAAGTGGAACTTCTGCCTCTAAAGACCTTGCAAGAAAATACATCCTGAAAATGAAAGTTCGCGCCTCCTTTAATGAAGCTTAACCCTATGTGAAAAGTCTCTTGGGGGCAGAGGCTTTCTCTGGGTGCTAAGCCATACATGTTAGGGAACAGTAGATTGTTTTATTTTTTTCCCCTCCCAGTAAGAGTTTAAAACAGCACTGACTGGGACAGTCTAATCCTCTGATAGAGCCATTAATGGGATGTAAGGTAACCAACCCGCGCTAGCAGCATTCGGAGTTCCTTCAAAGAAGACAGCCATCTGGGAAGGTTTTTGACTTTAAATAACGTTCCTTTTGTTTGTGACATTTGTGACTTTTAGTAAGCTGAGTTTTTGATGGCCTTTAAACCAGACTCCAAATATGTGAAGGTTAATGGCTATACTACACAGATTCTGTCTGTTGGCCTCTAACTAAACTTTTATTGTTTTCCTCTTATATTTCACTTATTTCCTAGTTACTTTAAAGTTAAATGAATTATGTTAAGATGCTTTGAAATTACCTAGCACTCCTTGATTAAGAAGTTAAAGTTTTTTCTCACTCTTTGAACATAAAGACTTAAATTAGTTTGGGATATTATTAAATTTATTTTGTAGCATTTGGTTTATATTAATATAAGAGCAACATAGCATAGCATAGCCAGAGCCCCATGGCTTAATAAAAAGAAAAGCCCAGCCTAGAACTACAGTTCGTCAACCCCCTCATTCAGTTTGTTCACTATAGTTTTCCCCACTCCTTGTTTCCCTTCTGCCATAGCGTAACATTTTAAAAATTCCCCTGTGCCTAGTAATTTCACATCCCATAAACATCCTCAGTGTTTTCTTAAATTTTAAAATGAAAACTATCCAGTTCTATAGATTTAAAACTTGCAGATCACTTACTAAAATCTC